GCGCTAAGCAATACGCTTGAAATAGCTAAGCCAAGCTTACCTCTGTGTCAAAACTCCATGCCCAGGAACACCAACTGCACGTTGGGTCGGGGTGGGACTTGTCGATTAACTAATGAGCCCAACTGGTGAAGTAAATCCTGTGTTAGCCTGATGCGTTTGGCTATTACCCCTTGCCCGAGTTGTTGGTAACCAGAAGTCTGGGTATGGATTGAGGTGTACCGACATATGGTGAAGCAGCAGCACTACCTGTTTCATCACTCTGGTGAACACGTAGGGCGATGTGCCTAACCCGAACAGGGGGCACCCGAAAATCGAATACTTGGCCCAGCTGGGCAATTCGAAGAAGATGGCAACTCGCTGGGTGCATCGGTACATGCAGGTAGGCCCCGCTTAAGTCTAGCGGGGCTAGCCAGTCAAAATGGTAGATGGAGAGAAGAAGCCTGAATGGTGTCTCCATGTGGAACCGATTGAGGAGCACGTACTGATTCAGTCTGCCTAGGTCCAAAACTGGACGCCTGCCACTTGTAGATTTGGTACTACGAACACATTTGGGTAGAAGCCTGGCCTTACTTCCGGCTGATGTACCCTGTGTATGGCGTCTTTCCCCAGCAAACTGCTACTTCCTGTCTGATTGCTTCTGCCTTGCGGGAGTCCCCTGGCAGTGCCCAACAGGGGAGACACTGACGGGGGGAAATGGAGATTTCAGCGGTATCCCGTAAACGGATGTTACCACCTGGGAAGGTCCAAGGGTCGGTCACCCACCGTCTCCGAACCGGACTACACCAGCGCAATCTGTGTACGACAGGGATATGTGGCCATGTGTTCGGCAGTTGCGAGAGGGGGTGTTCCCTTCCCCCATGAGGTGAGTTCCCCAAGGCCTGATGTAGTCACAAAGTTGTGACCTGGCCATTCACCGAACACGTGCCTGTTGCAGAGGTGAGCGTCAAACATGCCTCCCCTGCTGCCGGGTAGACATCCGCCCAGAGAGAGTGAGGAGCCACCACCTGGCTCTTACCTCCCTGGGGGCGCGCCACTACCCTTCCCTCCCATGGAAGGGTATAAGCGCTTGCCTCTTGGCTGACTCTGGCTAGCGAACGACACCCTAGGGCGTGTTTTCTGTGCTTGGGGTGCCCTCCGTTTGCCCATGGCAGGACCAACTGGCTAGCGGATTCGATCTGAACCCTCTGGTTCATTGCACTCCGAAGCTCCAAGACTGTATCCACCATTCCCTGAACAAAGAGGGTGGAGGATGTCCAGTCTGCGTCACTGAGGTGGGGACGTACCCCTGCTCAGCTTGTCGGCGAAAACATGTGCGTCTAAGGCCGCGTCTCGTAGCACAGTAGTGGCCCTGGCCAAGAGAGCCAGGCGACACTAGGGGGTGTCGCATGTAGATGTGCGGTGGCCCACCAGTAAAAATGTTGCCTGGTCTAGGAGGCTGGTGCGTTCTGCCTCCAAGGTTTGCCAAATTCGTGGTACCGGGGTCTGGGGAAGTAGCCTTGGAATCCGGTTGGGGGCGTTTTGGTCTCATTCCACGCTATGGGGTCTGATCCCGAAACCACACCGACCGGGTAGCGTTTGGTCCAGTGGGAAGTGTTGCCTAATGTTATCCCCACCCGGGGGCCTTAAGCATTACATCCTCTGCGGCTGACCAACGCCGCCCATCAACACCGTTTGCGTGCTCTGCGCCCCACTCCGCACTCAGGCGGACAGGGAGAGACTTGCTGACGGGGTTGCTTTGGATCCCGACGCCCGTGATCCCATAAGCGTTGAAGCAACCTTAGGTGGTCGCTTTAGGATCAAGGGTGGGGGTATGTACATCGTATCACTGGGATCGATGATACTCCGTCTCACCCCAAAAGCGTGGCTCACCGAGTCATACAGATAGAAGACTCTGAGGGACCACCCGGAGTACCGGCTGTATCCGACGCGAGCGAACTGCATCTCCTTTCACTTT